CTTCTGTAACCCTATGTGACCTGGCCTTGCCTCCCTCTGAATTCCTGCCTCCCTCTGAATTCATGTTCTGCACTCTCTTCCCTCTCCCTCAGTCAGCTCTTACCACCCTAGTCCCTTTGTATTTCCTGAACATCCAGGTCCCTTCTCACCTTAGGGTCTCTGCATTTGCTTGTTCATCTGCCTGGAATGTTCTTTCCCAGGTCTTCACATGGTTTTTAGCTCCTTACCAAAAGACGCCTTTCCTGACCCTTGATGTAAAATAGCCCCTGCTTGAGTCACACCTTCTGTCATTTACCAGGATTCATTTTCTCCACAGCGCCTATCACTAATTGGATGAATTTCTTTATTGACTTGTAAGCTTACTTGTCCCCTAACCTGTTCAACTAAATTTAAGCAAGGACTTCATTTTTTCCATTGTTACATCCCAGTGCCTTGAAAAGTCCTGGCATATAGTACATATTTATTGAATCAATTAATTTAGGGATTTGAATGACTGGAGTAGGGAGCCTACTGCAGTGTTTTCAGTACAGTGAGGGTACATTGAGGGTTTGTCAGTGGGAATGAAGGGGCGGAGCTCAGTACACGTGGAATCATAGGGAACTGTTGGGATTTGACTTGGTTTCATGTTTTGAGTCATTGAAGAGGGAAAAGGTAGAGAGTTTTGAGCTTGGATGAGCTATTAGAAACGTAGGAGAAGCTCCTGGATTTGGTGGGGAAGAGAACTGTTCTAGAGGTGTCAAGAGTTTAGGGGCGCCTGGGTGGCGCAGTCGGTTAAGCGTCTGACTTCAGCCAGGTCACGATCTCGCGGTCCGTGAGTTCGAGCCCCGTGTCAGGCTCTGGGCTGATGGGTCAGAGACTGGAGCCTGTTTCCGATTCTGTGTCTCCCTCTCTCTCTGCCCCTCCCCCGTTCATGCTCTGTCTCTCTCTGTCCCAAAAATAAATAAACGTTGAAAAAAAAAAAAAGAGTTTGGATGCTGATGGGGTGGAAGTTTTTAGCAGCAGTTGGAATGTGACTTTATCCAGAGTTTCCCATTCCCTAAGAGGTATTGCTGCCAAGCAGTCGAGGACCATGGGCTCAGAGACATGAGGGAAAGCCACATTCTCTGTTCAATTGTGGCATGGCTGTGGCAAGTCATTGAACCTCTCTGAACCTTAGGTTCTTCATCTATAACATGATAAAAATACCTCATGGCATAGTGGTGTTGGGGAGGAAAAATTTTACTCTATGTTTCAAAAGTTTCTTTCAGCTGGTCTAAGATTAAATTGACATGAAATCAATTTACAGGAGAAAATTAAATTTAATTTTATACATTGAGAAACCCCTTATACATGAGAGATTCAAAGACAGAAAGGTAAAATGAGGTATTTATGCCATGCTGAGCTAAGGAATGGTATAGGGGCCAAAAGCTTCAAAGGGGAGGGGGGCAATAAGAAGAACAAATGTTTGGTAGTTAGATATTTGCTATGCCATACAAATGGGTTACTCAGATAAAATTTATCCCTGGTGATAACTGTAATTCTGAGAACGACCCCCAATTTAGATTCTAGGTAAAGGAGGGTCTCAATTGCCTTCAGCTCAAAATAGCCTACATGCCAAAATGACACATTTTGGGAAGATTTGCTCTGAACCCTCTCAGTGGTTCTGAAAATTAAACTATAGAACATGAAAGCGTGGAACCAAGCCCTGATGCAGAGTAGTTTCTCAATGACTGTGAATTTCCTGTCTCCTTCCCCCTTCTTTAAGAGGCTAAGGATTAAAAAATTTACTCCAGTTCCACAGTTTAAATTTGTGTTGTTTTTCTTTGCAAGGCAAAACAAATAAGTGGTTTAAAAAGGCAAACAATACCCCCAGACTTAAAATGAAAATGAATGGTTCCCTGTTCCAACTCCAATTCCCTGCCCCCCAGTTTCCTCTCCCCTCAGGCTACTACTTCTTTTAACTCTTGTAGCTATTTCTTTTAGAACTTAAATCTGTAATTCAAAATAACACACTAGTACTACTATTCCTTCAGTTTTCAATTTTAGATATTATTTAGATATCAAGATATCTTCATCATATTCATACGAGGGAAGGCAAAGATTTAATTCCCTTATATTTCCAAGCCCAAACCTACACATACTACATCCATCACTCCTCTCAATGTATTATGTACCCCCGCCTTTTTTTTTTTTTTTAGCTCATCAGTATTGTGAGTTTATATTTTTGACTCTAGCTATTGACATCTGAACTATGTAGTGTACTGTGATTCTGTTTCCTTTCTTATACAAATTCTTATTTTTTTCTGCATTAATATTTGCCTCATTATTTTTTAGGTTTCTTTTTGTTTGCTTTTTGATACTGATCACTGGTTGATTGTCAAATTTCCCTCAAAATCTGAAACATTTCCTCCCAATAATTTCAAACTCAACGTGTATTCTATAAGTTTGATTTATTTTCCCCTTGGAAATCTCTTTCCAGCCTTCTCTGGCTTTCTGCTCCAATTTGGACTGTTGACTCTCTAAGCCTGCTGCCTCGCTGTGTGTCATCTAGAAATCTTTTTGTATTCTCTTGTTTTGGATCCCCTATTTACAGATCTTGTTTTCTTTCTCATTATGTACCTTATTACTTCATTTTGCCAAGGCACATTCATCCTACAGCTTTCTGAGAAAGTATGTGGGAGGTGAATTCTTTGAGACTTTGTAGAGCTTTATTCTGTTTTCATACTTGATTGACATTTTGGCCTAGTATTGAATTCTAGGTTGGAAATAATTTTCCTTCAGCATGTTGAAGATGGTGCCTTCCTTCTAACCTTGTAGTTTCCATTGTTATGTTGAGAAATCTGGTGCCATTATGATCCCCTTGCTTTCTCTCTCTGTGTGTGTGTGTGTGTGTGTGTGCATGTGTTTTCACATGGAAGTTTTTGGACTTTATTTCTTCAATATTTTCATATGTCACAGTGATATATATCTGTGGCACTTTTATTTTTTTTTTTTTCATGAGTTGTGCTGGCAGGTTGATGAGCCTTTTCAAACACTCACCTTTCAATTCCTGGAAATGTTTTTGAATTACTTCTTTGAAGTGTTATTTCTTCTATCCTCTCTTTTTGAAACTCCTATTATTCAGATATTGGACCTTCTGGCCTGTTCTGATTTTTTTTCCTCCCATTTTCCATCTCTTTTACTTTTCTTTTGCTCAGTACATTGGCGTACATTTTCTCTGTTTTCTTTTTTGTTTTGGTCTCTGTCTTTTCTAGAGGTCACACTGAAGCAACTAGTGAACCTAGGTTGTCTATACTATTGAGCAGTTATATACCAAGAAGCTGAACTAAAAACCTTCTGAATGAGCCACATTTGTCATCTGGAAGCCCTTAACATAAGGCAGCTTTTGTTTAGGGTCTCTCAAGTAGTTCTTTATCCTCGAGATGGTTGTATGGCTGGAAGGGAATTATCCAGTCACGTGCTTGGAGTGTATCAGTTTGACTTCTTGTATCCTGGGAGCCTGTGGGTAAAGGAGCTAGTTATTTCACTGTTTAGCATAAAGACTTCCACTTCGACATCCTGTGTTCATTGTGGACACTCCCTCCTGCCTTGTGCTGAGTCTGATGACCCCACGACTCAAGTCCCTCTGGTTTATCCTCTCTAGAGAGTAAATATCCTGGCATCTCCTACGTTAGGAAGAAGTAACTTCTTGTCTAGGCAGGAATCTGGGGCTGATCTATCAGGGGTTGGCAAGCTATTTCTGTTAAGGGCCAGAAAGTAAAGATTTTAGACTTTTGGGGCTACATCATGGTCTCTATCACATATTCTTCTGCTTCTCATTCTTTTTAAAAAAATAATCCTTTAAGGCATAAAATAAACATTCTTAGCTTGTGGACAGTACAAAAACAAGTTGCAGACCAGACAAGTCATAGCTTACTGATGCCTGGTGTAGAGGGTCCTTTTGGACACTCTGAATCAACCATCTTCATTTCAGCCCCACCTTGCATCCCTGTCTTCAGAAACTTGAAGTTTCTAATTTCTGATTCTTTGTGGGTTTTATGACAAAACTGGGTGATTTCTTATAGGTGCTTCCCACCACCCCCTCTCCCATTTTAACCATGTTCCCCATTAAAGCTTAGGTTTCAGCTTCTGCAGGTCCACTAGGTGAGCAAGTAATGTCTATCTTCTTTTCATTTTCTAAAACATGAGTTTTTTTCTTCTTTGCCTTTCTCTCTGTCCTTATTGGGTCATGCTTTTGGAAGGAGTGGAGATAAATATATGTGTTTAATCTACTAAGTTTAACCAGAAGCTTCCCCCCAAATCCAATTTGGTTGGTTTTTATTTTTTACTACTTTCTTTGATAGCTCTTGGGTTAATTTTGCATTTGTTTTCCATGTGCTTACTTGCTATGCCAGATGTTCGAAGAAGATGTCCTTGGGGAGGAAAAATGAGGGGTTTTAAAATGTAGTGTTCTTGAAATGCTCACAATGGTTCAGTGTGTGAGATCCCAAAGAGGCCCGGTTGTTTCTAACCACCAGACTCTCATAATAGAAATACAGTTTCACCCTTATTTGTGTAAACCATCAGGATCATTTTTAAATGTTTGTAGTAAAGTTTGTGACTTATTGTTTAAAATTGAATTTAAGGTAGTAAATCAAAGCTTTTGGTGGCATGCCCCTGACAGCAGGGAGAGCCTGGTAAGTGATCCCTAAAAGCTGATCAAAGAGACTTGCTGAGCATTTTTTCCTGTATTTGTGTTTTGGTCCTTTAATCTGGTAGTGTTTCCAATTCCCTTCTGAATACTGTAATGCACACTCCACCCCCACTCAAGTCTTCTTGGCGACATCTGGGATTGTCTTTGCCAAATGGCCCCCGTTTGGGCATAAGCCTGCCTTTGCCATGAAGCCTATACAAGGTTTGAACAATGGTGATTGTCAGAAAATGGGCATTCACACCACATTTTTGTTCTTGTAATCAAATGAAAATTGAAAATGAAAAAAGCAAAATTCACTGAAAAATGACCATTTGCCGTTTCTGCCTAGGTTCACCTTTCCTGGCCAGCGAAGATGGCGTGCTTGGAGGAGTCATTGTTCTCCGAACTTGCAGATGTTCTGCAGAGTCTGACTCCTCCCAAGATAAGCAGACACTTCTAGGTAAGCTGGACATACACCTTATGGCATGTCTTTCTTTTTCAATTTTTCAAGACACAGAAAGATTTTTTCCTTAACAAGTTATGGGAAGGCCGGAATGCTCCCTTGGTATCTAAACATGTCTATCCTACTAATCTTTTAGCATAGGTAAACATGTAAAAGATGAATATTCATTTTAAGTGTATGCTTACAGCATATTTCAAATGGGCTTAGAACCTAGGACCTTCACTAAAGCCCAATATTAAGAACATTGGACCATGTATTTGTTCCCTGCCTTATTCCACAAAGCATTTGAGATGACCCATAACAACATACACAGTAACAAACATAGAAGAAGCTTCTTCCTCTTCCCCTCCCAAAAAGGAATCAGAACCATGTGAATAGCTACTGGCCTAGGAGTCTGTTCTGGCTCCATTGCTTATTAGCTATGACGCCTTTGTATATGGGTCTTACTGTTCTGTGCCACTTCCTCTTCTGTAAAATAAGGACATCTGCCCTGCCCTCCTTGTAAAATTGTGGTGAAGAAGGGTCAAATGAGTGTTTTGCAGATTTACAGATGTCCATCCAGATGTGTGGTTTTGTGTCAAGCCAAGTGTAGTAGTGGGGTTAAAAAGCAGCCAGTCTTCCATTTGCCAAGGCACAAAACTGTGGGGCTGCCTCTGCCCACAGGGGTGCCTTTTTCATTCATTCATACAGAGGGGACGTTTTTTTTTTTTTTATTTTTTTTTATTTATTTTTTTATTTATATATGAAATTAATTGTCAAATTAGTTTCCAT